TTAACCAGCAAAAAAACATAACTGGAGGCATGGCTTTAGCAAATGGTGCCAGTCATGAGCAAAAAAGCCAAGTGAGAACACGAGTCCCTGAGTTCAAGTCCCAGCACCAGCATGAGAATGACCGTGTTAAAAATGTTGATTCCAAGGCTAGAGCTGGGAGAAAGGAGATGAATACATAGGGGAAAAGCCATAACTATGAAGCTTCTATGAAGTAGAGAGAAAAAGACCAAAAGCTTGAAAAGCTATGAGAAGATAGTCTTTTACCAGGAAGGCAGGAAGCTAGGAGGTGGGTGGCTATAGACAGGTTTGTTTCTTTGACAGTGAGAAAACTGAAGTTCCCATCTGATGGCTCCCACCTTGTTTAAGACACAAAGTTTCACAGGGAGAATGAAAGAGGTGGTGGGGGGTGAGAGAGAAAGTGTAGTGTAAGAGTTCTGAGTAGACAAGAAGGACTAAGCTGTAAAGGTGGTAAAAGTGAAACCATGAAACAGATTACTAGGTGGAACTGAGGATTCATTTCAGAAAACTGGGAGTCAAGACATGCAGAGGCTTCATATGATTACAGTGCCTGGCAGTGGGTTCAGGCAGGGAGAACAACTGTGAGGAGCATCCAGCTGGGGTTTGGTTCAGAGAAATCCCACACGAACTTCAAAGGACAAGTGGACTTAAGGTATAAACCTGCTCGATACGGACCAGGCACTTACGCTACAAGAAGAAAAGAGAAAAGAGGGACTTGGAGAGAGTAACAGGGACAAAAGAAATGAGTTGAACAAGCTACTGATAGAAAGAGGTGGGTAAAGAACAGAATATTTGAATTTAACCCATTAATTTCATTAAAACCCGTTAGAAGGGGACCCAAGTGGGTCGTGCTGCATGTTAGCTCTTCAGAATACTGAGATCCAGAGGATTGCAGTTTGAAGCCAGCCCAGGCAAAAAGTCTCCTTGACTCCATTTCCAAAATAACCAGCAAAAACCAAGTGGTACACCACTAGCTGTCAGCAAGCTGAGCAAGAGGTCAAAGCTCCATTTCGAACCCCAGTACCAAAAAAAAAAATTAAATCACTCATTAGCAATAGTGTAGACTTTAAGTCAAAGCCCAGCAAAACAAGAACCAGAAAATGGGTGTTATCAAAAAGGGAAGTCTTGGGGAGCAAGCGGGGAGGGTAGATGAAGGAGGAAGGGTGGAGAATGCAGGCAAGAATCCATACTATAGAATTGAGACACATTAAAGGAAAGGGTGTGTAAAATGGGGTGTGTGAAGATGTTGATGTGGTGACACAAATCAAGATGCAGAGTACACATGAATTGCTTTGTTAAATTGCAAAACATTCAATACATAATCTAGAATTAAGATAAGTAAAGGAAGGGGAAGCTTGGAGGATTGGGGAAGAATGCTGAAAGGGTAACATTGATCAAGACACACTATATTCATAAACTGCTTTGTACAAATACCTAAAGATAACAAAAATATTTTTAAAAAGGAAGCAGAGAATGACTATGGTCATAAGGCAAGACACAATGCCATCTACTGTTAAGCCAGAAAAAAATGAGAATGTAAGTTTCAGAACCCAAATAAGATGACTAAGTTAAAAAAATTCCTCATTAGATAGCTTCAACTATATTGCTCCTTATTAATACATTAAGAAGATGTATGAAAAGATTACAATCCAATGAGAAAAATATGCGAAACACCCTACTTGGCTGGAGACTCCTCATTCAGGGCACCCAGGGTCTTCTCCTCCTCCAAGGCTTCTTCCTTTGGGGCCCTTAACTCCACACCACTGAAAAACAGCAAAAGCCTCTGCAGTCATATGAATGAATTTACACCAATGCTTTAACAAACATAAGCTCACAAAAACAAATTTTAATGACCCATTTTTTCTTTTTCCAAAAATAGCAGTATCAGGGTTTGAACTTAAGAGCATTGCATTGAAGCAAGATTTTCCTACTAATGCTTCCTGCATAGCTGAGATTATAGATGTATACCCTCATGCCTGGCTTGTTGATATTCAGTCTTTTTCCCCAGATAGCCTCAAACCATGATCCTCCCAAGTCTCTAGAGATTACAAGTGGGAGTCATTGAGCTCAAGTTTAGTGTCTTATTTCTTAAGGGTTTGCTTTTCAAGGAATTCTGTACACATACAGCTGCCACAACAAAATGAATTTCTTATCCATATACATTTCCAGAATGTGAAAAGTTCTTTTATAAATAGAAATTTTCATAAATAAGCTAAAATTAAGAATGGGCTATAGGCCAGGCACCAGTGGCTCATGCCTACAATCCTAGCTACTCAGGAGGCTGAGATCAAGAATCACAGTCCAAAGCAAGCCTAGGTAGGAAAGTATGTAGAGTCTTTTCTCCAGTTAATCACCAGAAAACCAGAAATGGAGCTATGGCTCGAAGTGTTAAAGCACTAGCTTTAGTGAATTAGCTCAAGTGGTAGAGCACTGGTCTTACGTGCCCAGGTCCTGAGTTCAAGCATCATGATCAGAATGAGAGACAGAAAGAGAGAGAGATGGAAAGAGAGAGAATGCCATAAATATCCTCTTTTTTCGTTTTCCTTTTTGCCAGTCCTGGGGCTTGAACTCAGGGCCTGGGCACTGCTCCTGAGCTTCTTTTACTCAAGGCTAGCACTCTATCACTTGAGACACAGTACCACTTCTGGCCTTTTCTGTTTATGTGGTACTAAGGAATCCAACAGAGGGCTTCATGCTTGCTAGGCGAGCACTCTACCACTAAGCCACATTCCCAGCCTCAACTATAAATATTCTTAAACTACAAGTATTAAAAATACTCCCTAAAATAAGACTATGTTGGGCCTGGCACCACAGTGTGTGACTGGGGTAAAAGACCAACAAAATGCTGGTGAAATGTTTACACCTGCCACATGAGCTACACAGACATGGGAGCTCTTACTTGGTGGGCTGTGGTCAGGCTAGCCTGGGTAAAAAGCTACTTTATTCAAAAAATAATGAAAAAGGATTGGGGGAATGACTCAAGTGATGGAGCCTCTGCTTGGCTAGTGCAAGGGCCCTGAGTTCAAACCTAGTACTCCCAAAGGGAAGAAAAAGACTATCCGAACAAACTCAGAAAATGGCAATAAAGTAGAAACAAATTTTTCAAAAAGGATCACATATGATTATAAATAAGCTGGTAATAACTAATCCAGCAAAACAAGACTTTGAATTAATTTATATCCTATTTCATTTTAATATACCATCTACCTACTGGAAATGACAGCATAATGAACATTTTAATTTTAATTCACATGACCTCATTCTTTTCCTTTCTGTATTGACATTAATATTATTTGAAAAATACATTTTATGAAGCCCCAGAAAAAGAAATATTACTTTTAGTAAACTGTTAAAATCCAATTGTAGAATTGGATGTGGGGCTCAAGTGACACAGGCTTGATCTAACAAGCCAAGTTCAGTTCCCAATACTGCTGGGAAAATATTACAGTCACATACGGAATCCAGCATATTTTTCATCCTAGTGCAGAAAAAAAAGTTTCAATGATGGCTTTTGAAGGATTTAAAGTGAATATAAATTAAGCTGAATTAATAAAGTACATCTCAACTTAAATATTTTGTGTTCTAAGCATGTAGAAACTGCAATCAGTTTTAAAAGACCCTTACAATTAAAGGAGGTACTCTTAAGGAAGGGGCCCAAAAGTGCAATGAATGCCTCTGTGCCGGTGAACCTATAAAATAATATTTATCAACATGAATGCCAGGAAATGGCAACAAGTTTTTAATATTTTTTCCAATTGTTGATGAAGATGCTGTTGTTTTTTGCTTTTTGGTCTTTGTTTCTTGTTTTTTGTCTGTTTGTTCCTTTATCTGTCTTTGGGGGGTAAGAGGAGGCAAAGAAATGGAAAAATCAAGGGTAAACAAATGCAGCAGTGGTACTCAGTAGACACTATCAGGAAAATGAACTATACAACTATACAATTTGTAGATAGAGATGGGAGAGGGAAATGAAGAGAGCAAAGGAAGGGGTGAAATTGCCACTAAAGAAATATATTCATTACCTGCTTATGAAATGGTGACCCCTCTGTACATCTCTTTAATAATTAATAACAGGGACTGGGAAGGTGGCTCAGTGGTAGAGTGCTTGCCTTGCATGCATGAGGCTCTGGGTTCGATTCCTCAGCACCACATAAGTAGAAAAAGTTGGAAGTAGTGTTGTGGCTCAAGTGGTAGAGCACTAGCATTGAGCTGAAGAGCTGAGGGACAGCACCTAGGCCAAGGGTTCAGGCCCCATGATCAACAAAGAAAAATTAATAACTATTTTTTTATCTCACAGTTTATTTTTGCCATAAACTTTGATTAACTTCCACTTTGGTTTTGCTTTTTCTTTTGTTGTACAGGTTTCTGAGTCTTGAGCTTGGGCTCTCTCTCTCTCTCTCTCTGTCTCTCTTGCCTCTGTCAGCTTTTTCTCTCAAGGCTGGCACTCTACCACTAGGTATACCTTCACTTCCAGCTTTTTTTTTAACTGTTTAACTAGAGATTAGAATATCTATCTCAGGTTCATCTGCGTGAGTTGGTTTCAAACTTTAGTTCTCAGATCTCAACCTCCTAAATAGGTAGGACTATAGATGTGAGCAACAAGTCCCTGACATTTAAAAAATTATCATGAGCCGGCCTTCGCCCGCGGAGCCCTCGCCAGAGAAGCGCCCCTCGCGCGTCCCGGGTCTCCCGAAAGAAGGACGCCTAAATCCCGGCAGCGACCCCTCGCGACCCCGAGTCCCATGGGCTTCCAGAGAAGTCCCAGCTGTGAGGACCAGAGCCCAGAAAGCCAGGCCTGGAAGGCTGGCCCCGAGGGCGGCCGTGTGGCGCACGCGCATCTCCGCCGGCCACGTGACGCGGCCACGAGCACGTGACCCGCGGGCTCTGCGCTCCGCCTCTCGGCGTTCCGCGTTCGCAGGCGCTTTCTGCGGCGGGCGCAGCAGGCGGCTTCGCGCGGCGCTCCGGGAACTTGGGATTCGCCGGGAGGTGCGGCGGCGGCGACGGCAGCAGCCAGCTTCCCAGGAAAAGCCAAGATCTGAAGGTTGGAAATATTGGATACGTTACTTGGGAAAGAGTAATTCATTTAACCAAAGCAGAGATGGCTTATTTATAGGAATAGCTTGAAGCCAGAGTCATGGTGGATGTAGGAAAGTGGCCAATCTTCAGTCTGCTTTCACCTCAGGAAATCTCATCTATTCGGAAAGCATGTGTCTTTGGCACCTCAGCCAATGAAGCACTGTATGTCACTGATGATGATGAGGTCTTCGTGTTTGGACTGAACTATAGTAACTGTCTAGGAACTGGAGATAACCAGAGCACACTTGTACCCAAGAAACTGGAAGCCTTATGTGGCAAAAAAATTAAAAGCCTTAGTTATGGGAGTGGCCCCCATGTTCTCCTCAGCACTGAAGATGGAGTGGTCTACGCTTGGGGCCACAATGGATACAGCCAGCTGGGGAATGGGACCACCAGTCAAGGCATTGCTCCCATACAAGTTTGTACCAATCTCTTGATCAAGCAGGTGATTGAAGTAGCTTGTGGCTCACACCATTCACTGGCTTTGGCAGCTGATGGAGAGGTATTTGCATGGGGCTATAACAATTGTGGTCAGGTGGGATCAGGATCTACAACAAATCAAGCAACTCCTCGAAAAGTTACAAACTGTTTACATATTAAGAGGGTGGTTGGCATTGCCTGTGGTCAGACTTCCTCCATGGCTGTTTTGGACAATGGTGAGGATTTTGAAGAATTCTGCTTTAAGTTTTGCATCAATCATTTGACAGAAGTCACTCAAACTGCAGCATTTTGGCACATGGATGGCCCCCTGCTAAAGGAGTTCATTGCTAAAGCCAGTAAATGTGGAGCCTTTAAGAACTGAAGCCCGAGGCTGCTGGGCTGTGTGAGTGCTCTGGGGCACTGTGGGTGATATGTCCAGCTTGTGCTCTACAGGTGATGAGATTCTGCAGGTAAAACCCACCAGGTGGTTTTTTCCACATCTGAGACACTGTTCTCCATATGAAGGATATTTGGTTCTCCTGGGTCCATGTTAAACAAATGTGTGTGTTTTAAATATGGGCTGGAACTTTATGAATGGCATAAGTTTAGCTTCTTTTTTCCTTTTTGATGAGAAGAACTTCTGAAATTGGAAAAAGGCTTCCCTGAGGAAGGTCAGGTAGCACAGGGCCTTTGATGTCAGGAGTTGTGTTAGTGACTGGTGACATGAGCAGTGATGCTTCATGCTGAGTTAAGGAAGCCACACTTTGCTTGACCAAGCGCTGCCTTAGTTTCCAGTCAGTACCTTTCTGTGAGAAAAGAGTCTAGCTTGTGTGAGGGTTTTTTTTTGGATATGCTTTCACTATTGATGACTTAAATAAAAGGAAAATCAACAAATGTCAAAGGGAATATCTGTTTAATGAGTTAGGCCAATTGAAATAACGGTAAATTTCTAGGTTAGCTAGAACTTAAATCACAATAAAATTAATCACACTAGAAGAGTACTAATTTAGAACTATCCATGATAAGTTGATAATAGCATTTTGTGTGGATAAAGGTGAATATCACTTATCCACCTTTATTTCATTAAGGTTAAATTGGGAGAACTTAAACTACCCCCTATCACCTTTACCATACAAAATCAAGTGGCTCTCATCTTCCTCTTATGGCTTCTAAGCTGTGAGATTTACATTATAGTGTAGAAGCGTTTTTTTTTTTTTTTTCTTCTTTTGGTGCTGGTCCTGGGGCTTGAACATAGGGCCTGGGCTCTATCCCTGAGCTTTTTTGCTCAATGTTAGTGCTCTACTACTCGAGCCACAGCACTACTTGCAGTTTTTTGGTGTGTGGTTAGTTGGAGATAAGTCTCATGGACTTTCCTTAGATCTTTGCCTGCTGAGCAGTTAGGATTACAGGTGTTAAGCCACCAGCACCTCGTTTAGAAGTGGTTCTTAAAGGCACTTTGTTACAGTACTTAATGGACATACCTATTTTATCTAGGCTAAACTGTCACAGATTTGTTTGAAACTTTATTACCTTCCACCATGGGTTTTTCCTTTTGTGTTAGGTACACTATTTAGCTGTTTAACCTTTAAAAGGAGTTCCAAAAATCATGATTTTTCATGAAAAGGTCCCACTTTAAGAGTTGTTTTGTTTTTGCTTTTTTTGGTGGGAGAACAGGGATCTGACTATGAAATGTGATGTTGTTTTTAGAACCACAGAAACAAGAGGGAGAAAATATGCTACAGCTACTGTTTTTTATTAGGGTTTTAAATGTCTGTCGGGGTGGGGTGGTGCATAAGCCTCCAAGATAATACTTGATAGTTGAGATATAAACCTCAAGGTTCTAGCCCCCTTTTCTTGATCATATCACAAATGACTGAAGCCCAATAATTAATTGTAAATTAGTGCTGCATTATGATGGCTTTTCTTACTAGGATGATGAATGCGTATTAATTTGGTTTGCTATGTGTAGTCCTTATAATTACCGTAGGCTTATGGTCTTGAACAAAGTGAGAACTTCAGGATGTTTACTTACTGTTCTTAATTAAAAAGAACTTTAAAAAAAAGCACAAATTAAAGTAGATCATATCCATATAGTTCATTTGTTCAACAAATATTTACTGAATTCCTAATACACATGAAGAACCACTTCTCAGATTACTAATTTGTATGAGTATGTATGGTAGAAGAGACAAGTCCTTCAAAAATACTTGACTATTTTTTTTAATATAATGTTATTTTTCTAAATGGTTTTGTTTAATCATAGCAGGAATTGAAAACTGTTGTTATTTTTTTTTTTTTCATCTGATGTTAATAGTGGAAGCCGAAGCCCTTATATTTCTTAAGGTAGCCCTAAATGTACTATTGAACTTCTTACTAGAACAATGTTTGATACTCTATTATGTAGGCTGCATTTGTTATATTTACAGTACCATTAATAAAGTAATCTTAAGGCAGGCAAAAAAAAAATTATCATAAGATAGTTGTACAAGGGGAGATTTTGTTGTGACATTTCCACACAATGTGATCCTTCTCCCTCTTTTTAAAACAATTTCAACAGGTTTCAGTTTTATTTTGACAAAAATCTAGTTTAACCATATTCATTCTCTTTCCCCTTAATTAGTCAACCCTCTTACTAATATTCCACCCTAGCCTCTCTCTCCCCCAACTTGCTATTGATCAACAGCTTTCATGTTATTTTCATATATAGTTATAATGTATCTCAAAATTATTCACTCTCTTTCCCCCTTCCACTTCTCCTCTTAAATAGTCTTGTAGACTCAAATTGTATGTCTGCCCATAAACATAAAAGTAGAATCATGACTACGAATACATATATTTTTTTTAGGCCAGCTTCTATATAGGAGAAAAAACACATATCTTGTGTGTTTTTTTTTTTGTTTTTTTAGCTTAGCTCATTATGATGCCCTCTAATTATATCTATTTTTCTGAAAGCGACATGATTTCATTTTCCTTCATGGCTGTGTAACATTCCATGGTACATCAATACTACTTCTTCTTTATCCATTCCAGAAGATTCCAATCCCGGGCGCTAGTGGCTCACACCTGTAATTCTAGCTACTGAGGATGAGGAAGCTGAGATCTGAGGATCACGGTTCAAAGCCAGCCCAGGCAGCAAAGTCCGTGAGACTCTGATCTCCAATAAACCACTAGCAAACCAGAAGTGGCGCTGTGGCTCAAGCAGTAGAGCGCTCACCTTGAGCTGAAGAACTGAGGGATAGTGCTCAAGCCCAGAGTTCAAGGCCCATGACCGACCAAAAAAATAAAAAAAAAGAAGATTCTAGGTGCTGATTCCATCATTTGGCTATTGTGCACAGTGCTGTAATAAACATAAATTATTCTGGTGTCTTTCTGGTATATTGATTTTATTGATTTATTCTATTGACATACGCCTCATACTGGTATAGTGGAGTCTTTGGAAGGCTTTCTTTTTAGACTGATATCCATAATGATTGCACTAGTTTACATTCCCACCAAAAGACTATGAAGATTCCTTTTCTAATTCATCTTGCCAGCATTTTCTTGGTGGCTGTCATTCTAACTGAAGTAGATGGAATCTTATTGCAGTTTTAATTTGCATGTTCTTTATTATAGCTAAGGCTGTTGAACATTTCCTGATGACTTTATTAGCCATTTCTTTCTTCTTCTAAAAACTATGTAATTGCATTATTTGTGGGTTTTTTGATGTCTAATTTCGGTCTTCTGTATAGTATGGATATCAATCCGTTATTTGTTGAATAGCTGGCAAATATTTTTTGGGTTGTCTCTTGATTCTGGTCGCTTCTTTTGCTGTGAAAAAAACCTCTTAATTGGATACTATCCCATTTGCCCATGTTTGTTCCCATTCTCTGGAGTCGTATTCAAAAAATAATTGCTTGTATCTTTAAGTTTCAGAAGTTTTCTTATATTTTTCTGTAGTAGATTTAAAACTTCAGTTCTCATTTTGAGCTCTCTGTTCCTCTTGGAGTTTTTTGATTTTGTTCTTAGAAGGTGACAAAAGGCCCATTTTCAGTATCCTAAGAGGATGACCCATTTTCCTAACACCATTTGTTGGAGAGTTTTTTCTCCAGTGTGTGTCTTTTGGCTCCTTTGTCAAATATAATTTGGCTACAGATCTGTGCTCTTAAAAACTTTTACTTAATGAACAAGATGTTTTTCTTTTCTTTTTTGTTTGTGGGTCCTGGGCCTGAACTCAGGGCCTAGCTACTTCCCCTGAGGTATTTTGCCCAAGGCTAGGATTCTACCACTTTAGATACAGCTCCACTTCCAGCGTTTTGGTGGTTAGAGATAAGGATCTCACAAACTTTCTTAACAGGGCTGGCTTTCAACCATGATCCTCAGCTCTCAGCCTCTTGAGTAGCTAGGGTTACAGGCATGTGCCATTGGTGCCTGGCTTTAAACAAGATCCTAAATCAAATGTATTCAATGTATAGAAGGACACACACCTAGTTGAGGCCCCTTTATAAATGCTCACATCTACCCATCATCCAAACCCCAGTGGGTCACTTCATTTTTAAGCACCCAGTAGTCCCAAATCTAGCAGAATGGCAATGCTAAGTTATTTCAATAATTTTTTTGTTCTCTTGCCATGAAACAAACCAAGATTAAAACACAAAATGAGTCGTCAATGGCTTGTGACTACAACCCTAACTACTAAGGAGGCTGAGATTGTGTGCTGTGGTTCAAAGCCAGCCTAAAAAGGAAAGTCCATGAGCCTCATCTTAAACTACCAAAAAAAGCTGCAAGTGGAGCTGTGGCTTGCTTCAAACAGAATAGCACGAACCTTAAGTACAAAAGCTCAGGGCACAGAGCCCATGCCCAGAGCCCAAGCTCCAGGACCGGCACACACACACAATAAAACCCTATAGGCTTACAGTTTGTACTGTTTGGCAATTAATGACTAAAAAGATGTGGGGAAAAAGAAAAAGGGAAATATAAACACCTGAGACTATAAAAATCATCATTTGTTAAACTTGGGCAGTGAACTGATTTTACAGAGGGGAAAAATCACAGATCTACCCTTTGTGTTGACCCAAATTATTTTATGAATAAATTCAAAATTCATGTTCTAGTCCCAGCTTATTGAACCATGTGATCAAATCTACAAAGCTTATTTCAAGATGAGCAACAACTTGTTTTGACAAATAATGTTCTGCTGAAAGCAAACTGACAATGCTAAGTTCATTACAAGAAACAGCCCTAGAGACTCTGTCTATACTTTGACTTGTTATCCTAGAGAAAAGCATGCCTATTTGTGTGTGTGACTATGCTCCAAAAATGCTGTTGAACATTTCAAAGCTTTTAGGACCCACCTCAAATGTAGTCAGCCTTCACACTGAGCACAAATCTCTAACAGTGGATGGAGTTTCATCAACTGTTACCTGATAACATACAATTACCTGCTCTCAACAGTATAAACTCTAAGGCAGTATTATTGAAAACTCATGTGTGATTGTCTATTATGCTTTTATCAAAATACTATTTTTTAAATGATATTGATGACACTCCATACCAAGGAAACTCAAAACTGTCAGAACTACTCAGTCACGTGAGTC